ATCGTATGCATTTGATCTTAAAATATTCATACATATGAATAATTATTTGTAACAAAGACCTTATATGAATTATTCTCGTTTTTTCAAAACATTCTTATTTATATTAGGCCGTTTCAACTTGGCAATATGATATTTAATTTCTCCGAAAGTTAACTCACTTTTTTATTTCTTACTTTTTTCACACTTAAATTCATGCTTTGGGCCGCCAGCACCTCTGGAACATTTTTAGAGAAACTGTGTAAGAAATGTGTCATGATTCAATTGATTTTCGTAGTTTATACTTGAATTAAGCTAAATTTTTTACAATAAGAAAACTTGCAAAAATACTACACAATAAAATAATCGTTATTCCAAAGGATAAAATAGCATTTGTTTTGAGCTTTCCTTGAATCGAAACTATGTTTAGCTCTTAAAATTGCTAGTACATTGAGAGTACAAATTGATGGAAAAACTAGCCTGTATTGTCAGCTCTCTAAAAACGTATAAAATACTGGTATGAAAGCGTTAAATTCTACCATAAGTATCTCCTTAATAGCCCCAAATACGTAGAAAATTCGGCGTTTTGGAAATCGATAGTAATATTTTCGGTGTGCCTCTGCAAAACGATAAAAGACAAGATATCTGTGCTCGAATCTGTGAATCTGTTGAGCTACTTATCGAAAACACGTGACACGCTCAGTTATTAGACTTCAGAGAATTCATAATAATAGAGCAATTCCTCTAGCGCACAGAAAATAAGTCGAAACAATCGCTCAAACGTTTTTTGACGTTTCAGAGGATCCTGATCATTTCCAGAAACATTTTTGCAGGGTTTGTATACATGTCCGTTATTTTGGTGCTAGCAATTTATACGTTATCAGCCCTGGTAATTCTAAGCACCTATTAGACATATTTTATGCACCATAGATTTCCCCGTATTCTTCTCTTTTCTTCGAAATCGGAGGGATAACTGTAAACTGATCCACTTAGCAATGATGCGTGTACACACAGATATGTCTATGTATCAGTGTTGCCAAACCAAAAAATACGAAATCGGTAGATAGTGTCATTGGAATTGGGTAAATTCAAGAAAAAAATCGGTAGCCGCAGGATCAGCAGTGGATCAAGGGCCTTTGCCTTACGCAGCGTTGTTTATCCAAAAAAAACTATTGTTTTGTATTGCGCGAGCACACACAACCACAACACAGGTTTTTATGAGAGCATCTTTTCTTGAAAAACAGATTAACTCATTTATTAAAACTTGTACAATAAGCATACTGGTTACTCTTTAAACTCCATCCCGGAAAGTCCCTTTTCCCTTCTTGTTTATAAGATGTGAATATTTTCCTTAAAACTTGAAACCGCATCACCTGACATTTCAATTAAATTCGCAATTATTATAAACAGACGAGCTTCGGTTTCCTTGTTACTTGTTCGGTGATGAGGTTTTGAAGGTAATCTACCAGTCTGTACCTCTTGTAGTAGTAGTAGTAGTAGTAGAAAGATCCATTTAGCACATTTGGCTACATAAACAGAATAATTGTAAACAACTTAGAATTAGTAAATTCAAGCCATATGATGTACGACGTAAATGCTGGGCAAGCTATAATTGTAGATTTAACAAGTGATTCCTCAATTTTACTTTAAATTTCGACAAAGTTTTCTGGTCTTTTATCTTTGTATATAATTTATTATATTCAATCAACCATTGATGGAATACAGATTTGTAGCATATGTTATACTTTTTGGTCTTTAAATGTGATTGTGATGTTAAATTAGTTATAATTGAAGAAAATATATCATTTTTTACTTTATAAATGAATATCATTACAAGATATTTGATAAATTTTTTTACATTGAGCCATTTTAATTTGCTAAGCATTTGTCTAATTGGAGTATATTTATCTCTATTCAGTATTATTCTCATGCACTTGTTTTGTAAAATTTGTAGTCTTTCAAAAATGGAATTATTTGCTAAATATACGAGTGGAATAGTCGAACAGTACAAGAAATTTGGAAGAATGATGGTATTATAGATAATTTTTCTGCTATATGAACTCAGAAATTCAGCTCTTGATAAATATCCCACTTTACTACTAATCTTATTTATAACTTTTTCATAATGAATATCAAAAATTAATCGAGAGTCAACAAATACCCCAAGGTATTTAAAATTTTCTATGAATTCAATATCTTCACCATCAATATTCGGTTGAACATTTGTACATTGTTTTTTTCCGATTAACATAGCTTTCGTTTTACTTGTATTTAATTTGAGTCTGTTAGATGCTAACAATTTTGAGACAAGTTTCAAGTCTTCATTTATATAAGATATACCAGTCTGAATATTTTTAGTACTTACATAAATCATAGTGTCATCGGCGAAAATCTGAATTTTACATTTTTTGGCTATCGCAGGTAAATCATTTATTTCTAAAATAAAAAGAAATGGTCCCGGATACTGCCCTGAGGAACACCCAACGTATTTTCATTTTTTGATGAGATATAGTGTCAATAACTTTTGTAACTTGCATCCTTTTAGACAAATAATTTCTAAACCAATCTAAAACACTTCCTGGTATACCATATGCCTTCAATTTACCTAACAAAATATCTCGATCAATCGTTTCAACTGCAAATCCAAAAATACTGCTATGACAACTTCTTCTGAGTCTATGGCTCTTCTCCAATTCTCAGTTACCAACTGGAAAGCCAAATCTTGTGTTCTTCCATAAACTGCATTAATTGGTCTTGCTCTACGAAATCCAAAGTCTGGTAACACATTTACTGGTCTCATATCGCTGCTTTTTTTAATTTTTTATTTTGGGAACTGGTGTTATTGTAGAGCTTTTCAAATTTTCAGGAAAAGAACTGCTTCTCAGCGAAAAATTGATCCAATTTAATACAGGATATCCCATAATTTCGAAACTGTTTTTCAGCACGTTTTTAGTAGTGATTTCGGCACTGTTGTTGGATTTTAAACTGATTTTCATATAGTCAGGTGCAGCATTGACAGGACCCACAATATCAACAATACTTTCCATAAAATATTCATTTAGTTTGTTTGTAATCACCAAAGAATTTGTTTCGGTACCGTTTTCGAATTGAACTTGATTTACACAATAATGCGGCATCGAATTGATCAGTCTTTTTAAAGTTCTCCACATCTTTACAATGTCGCACTTGTTATTATCGATTTGCTTATCGTAGAATTTCCTTTTTTCTTCTTTAATTACATCCAAACATTTATTCCTAAGAGTTTTATATATCTCCCAATCATCATTCTATTTTGTACATTTTTTGTATTGTTTGTCTCTCAAATTTTGAGCTGCCTTAATATTTTTGTTATACCAGGGTGTATGTTTTGCCGAGCAAATCACTTTTTTATCATTTGCAAGATCTAAACAAGTTCTTATATTTCCTATTATGTTGTCATATATTTTTCCATATTCTCACCAAAATTCCAGTGGCAGCCAGCAAGTTCTCGTCCAAGTTTTTCGTAGTCACGATTTTCTTAATTTTTACGTCAGAACAATGTCCTACCAAGGGCAGCATTGTCCAACTGTGATCACTAACTTTAGGTGTATGTACAGCTTTAATCCCTACACATTCGAGATTTACAATGACAAGATCTAACAAAGTCTCTGACAATGATGTTATTCTGGTACTCTCTTCAATGTTTTGCTTGAACCCATAGTTATTTATGGTTTCTTTCAATTTTCTTGTTTTCATGCTTTTGCTATAATAACTTAAATTAAAATCACCTAAAAGTATTATATTGTTTCTAAAATTTCACATTTTTTTCGCATTTCTCTTCAAAAAACATTAAAAATGTATCTGCATCACTGTTTGGTGAACGGTAAAAAGTAAGATCATTACGTTTCCCAAACAATTTGAACTGTATATGTGCATACCAGTATGCATAGTCTAAAGTGGTACAATCGAATAATTTGATCTGTATTTTGATGTAAACATAAATCACTACACATCCAGTATGTCTGGAGTTGGAGTTGCATCTGTAGGTTTTATAATTAGTAATTTGTAATTCACCATCAGTGATGTCTTCTGTAGCGTGTGTTTCGGTAAGCCATAATACCAGTGGTTTTCTCCATCTTAAACTGTTGAACTTCATCTATATTATTCATGACACCTTGTATGTTCAAATGGTATATTGATAAAGCTGACAAACCACGCGCTGAGCTGTCAGCGCTGACGTCAGCTTGACACTAAAACCAGCCTAAAAAGTAGTGTGTGCTATTCCGCTGCTGCTAAAATTCACGGTATCACAGATAACTGTCTGATGCTGACAATGCCTATGTAATAAAACTTAATAGGTCAAGAAATTGGCAGTTTTGCTTGTTAAACGTACAAAAATAATCTCAGTACTAATTTTTGTCACGAGAAAAAGCGACAAGAAACCAATAGTACACCGGGTGTTTCAAATTTGACTCACGATTGGGACCTCGGAAACGGTAAGAGATACGAAGTCGCTTAAATCGGGGCAAAGTTGCACATTTAACTAAGAAGAAACTTCCAATATGAAGTCCAGAAGGAAAAATAAAGTTGATGATTGAGGACAAGAGACAAAATGTCATATTGAAATTCTAATTATGCCATTATGTAGAGGAGAAAAAGTGACAATGTTAATGTTGTTATTTTGAAATCCTATCTCTATCCGGTAATACTCGGAATTACGACACGGCCATTCTCCGAGTTGCCTAAATGCAAAACATTGCCCCCATTTGACCGACTTTGTATTTCTTGCTAATGGTCAGAGTTGAATTTGAAACACCTGGTATACCTGTATATCCATACCTACACAAGTGTATGTGTGGGAGGAGGTAATGGAATGAGGTACATACCAATGTGATGCTACCCACCATGAGGAAATGCAGAAATGCACTTCCATGGCGAACAAGCATTCCATATTTATTGAAGGATCTCAGAATTTGGGTAGGAAAGGCCTGCCTTTTTGTAAGTTTTACCCTGTCTATAAAAGTACTAATTTTAACTTTTTGTAGAGTTCTGACTTAACTCATGCCATATTCAGATCAAGATGGGTTGGAAGTAAATTATCCACACAGAAAACCCTAATCCTGTTCATGGCTTTCACCAAGAAGCCTTTGAGTATAAACCTAGCATCTGGATTATTTACTATGGCTATTCCAGTTTTTGTGTCGGTATGGACAATGCATTTGATGATATTATTGATTAAGCTCAAAACTACCAGCATCACTATTAATCTAGAACAATTTTAATTTGACACTCTTCCTTTAATAACAAAATAATTTATAATCTTTCTATTTCAGGTATGTCGGACAGCATACTCCTTTTTCACAATACTACAGAAATTTAAATAGCTTTAGATCATATTTAGCTGTATCATTATTTGTGATTCAACAATGGCTTGGTTGTATCTCCAAGCTAATAATTGGGTTAGAGCTTCTATTAAATGATCCGCACTTGTTTTTTCTGAGCAACTTTCATATTTCAATTACAACAAAAACTGTTGTTCTTTGTATTAATCCACTGCTGTACATATACATATGAATATACATTCTCATACAATATATACATACATTTCTTTTGGTATCAGTATGCAACAATAAGACAATATTATGATATCTGAGTTCAGATTATTTTCTTTAGACCATTGATTCCCAAAGTGGTCTATATCGACCCCTAGGGGTCTATGACAACCTGCAAGGGGTCTACGTCGGCGAAAAAAAATTTGGGGGTCCATGAAATGAATATGGGGGTCCACAATAGTGGATCTCAACACCTACACTGATAGTACCTATTTACGTACATCATACTATCTTATATCAAAACATATACATTATTTATAAAAGTACCTATGAAGTAAAAAATTATGTTTATAAAATTGTGTAAGTTGTAGGATGTTGGTATTCGCTTTGTGGTCGCAATACATTTTGAACTTGAAAAAACCTGAGAGTCGCAGTCTCAGAGCTTCGCTACCTTGCACTGACTAGTTCAATTCGTCACTCTATAAATACGAATGTGGGACAAATACGTTTATTCGTTTCCTGAATCTTGAAAAGGAAAGTGCTAAGAAAATATTTTAAAAAATATAAACAGATAGTATCACACAAATTATAGTGAGTCAGTGTTATTTTGTTTGAGAGTGCTGGAGAAAAGTAAGTACATTATTTTTTATTAAATTTTAGTTTTGTACTCGTAGTTAGCAAAGATAGATAAATTACGCCAATCATGACTTTAGTTATTAGTAGTTAAATATTCAATCATGCAAAATTACACGAGTACTCCTCAATAGTTTCTTTTTGGAAGTTTTAGCAATCGGTAATATAATTACAATGCAATCTCCGTAATTCGAGCTAATTGTTGCAAGAAGATGTTCGAATTATGGAATGTTTTCGGAAAAATCAAATATTTTTAATATACAGCCGCTGGATTTTCTGTCTTATTTAAATAAATTAATTTTGCCCACAGATGACTGATGCCATGTCCGAATCTAAAAAGAAATGTAGACAGTACAGTGTTGATTATTTGAAATTTGGCTTCATTCCATCATTGCCGGACAAACAATCGCCTATGTGCCTTTTATGCAACAAAGTTTTGGGCAATGACGCTATGAAACCATCTAAACTGCAAGATCATCTGAGAAGATGCCACCCTGATAAAACAGAGAAAGATTTGAAATACGTTCAAACAGTCAAAGATAAATTTCAGAAGAGACCTACACTGGACAGAATGTTCGCTTCGACGTCACAAAGAAATGATGATGGTTTATAGCAAAATCCGGAAAACCGCATACTATCGGAGACAAGTTTATTTTGCCAGCCGTTGAAGAGGTTTTAAAAACTGTTTTACACAAACCTGCATCTGATATCATTAAAAGAATTCCCTTAAGCAACAATACTGTTGAAAGACGTATTGATGATATGAGTTCTGATATTGAAAGCTTCTTATGTAATTATTTGCAAACGACCCATTTCTCTATACAACTGGACGAGTCAACTTTAACTGATGCAGCATTGTTATTGGCATATGTCCGTTTTATTATGAATCAAGAAATCTACGAAGAACTGCTCTTCGCAAGAACCTTTATCAAATATAATATCAGTAGCTACAGATGGAGCACCTGCCATGGTTGGACGTTATCGTGGATTTATAAGCTATTTAATACAAAATGTGTCAGGGGTGTTAGCAATACATTGCGTCATCCATCGACAACATTTAGTTGCTAAAAATTTGAGTGTTAGATTGCATGAATCACTTCATTTAGTCATTGATGCAGTAAACCGAATCCGAAGCAACGCGTTGAATACGCGGTTATTTGCGCAGTTGTGTGAAGAAAATGACGAACACTTTCATCAATTACTCCTTCACACTGAAGTACGCTGGCTGTCGAAAGGCTTATGTTTGACAAGATTTTTTGCACTTTTTGAGACTATTTTAGAATTTCTGGATACTAAAGATAAAATTTTAAAAGATAATTTAATGAAGAGGAAAACAGACATCGCAAACAGATTTGTTTACAAAATTTAATATGGTTAATTTGCAATTACAAGGCGACAGTTTAAATTTGATTAAAACAAAGTCCATCTTATCAGCGTTTCTTGCCAGAGTTGAACTAATGAAGCAAAATATTGGACGGGGCGAATTTTCTCAGTTCCCCAATTTGTCACAGACAAGCTGCCAGGAAGACGACTTTTCAACTTACGTTCAACATTTAAATGCCCTCTATTCAGATTTTGAATCTAGGTTTGAGGATATTTTGAATATGGTAATACCACCATGGATAATAATTAATCCATATGGTGACATAGAAGAAACGAATGTCATAATACAAGAGGAACTGTCTGAACTAAGTACAAATGAAGAACTTAAGGTTCAGTTCAAAAACGGATATCAGCAATTCTGGCTGCAAAACAACATACCCGTTACTTATCCTGTATTATGGAATATAGCGAGGAAATTTTTAATTTCCTTTCCATCGTCATACCTAGTGGAAAGGGGGTTCAGCGCTGTTACCAATCTCCTAATGAAAAAAAGAAACTGACTGGACATCATTAGCCGAGGAGATTTAAGATTAACCCTTACAAAATTGACGCCAAATGTTGATAATTTATTATTAAAGCATCAGGTCCATCCTTCTCACTAAAAATATTAATTATTGCTTATGTTATTTTATTTATAGTTTATTTTATGTTTATTGGTGTCTGACCAATAAATGCCCGGATTGGGAATAAGTGCCCGCATTGATTTTTTTTTATAGAAAATATTTTTAAAATTATTATGAAAATTCAAGGATAGGTACACACTAAAATTCGTTAATTTTTTGCCTATTTTTAGATAACTTAAACGTATAAGAAGCGGAATTTAATCAAACTAACAGTGAAATTATTGTAGAATATACGTTTATGTTATAATTAATAAACGAACTCGCTTATTGTACTATTTTAAGTAAAAAACTTTTTTTTTATTATTTTTCACTTTTTATTTATTTTATCCCTCTTATTTTTTTTTTCAATGCAGACACCTGGTTATTTAATGTTACGTATATTTTACATAACAGATACAAAATTTTATTTTGAGTAGTTTTAATTTAAATTCAATTAATAAATGTATAAATTAACATGTGTTTTTACTTTAAGTTTTTAACACTAAACTTCACTACAGTTAGAAATTTACAGGAAATCAATATCAGGTAAGTAGGGGGTCTACCCAACACGGAAAAACATAGCAAGGGGTCTACGACACAAAAAAGTTTGGGGAACTCTGCTTTAGACTCATACATGTGCTGAGCAACAACTGAAGAAATACATTTGAGCACATACCAAAAACTTTAAAAACATTAGCTTATAAAAAGAACCCTAAAAAGTGGTCCAGATGAATTCCATACTCATTGAAATAGTATCTAGAGAGGTCCTATTAAAATCTCTTGTGGTGATACAAAATGGCATCAGGGGGTGGAGCCAAGGATGACACATTTGTATCATATTGATACAGGACTGTCTTTAGCTTTACATTCTGCATATCGTAACAATGCTCTGACCTGTAATATGTTATGGCTGATGATTTTTTACCCACAGCAGATTGTCTACATCACACCATCAGGGCATAGGACACCATGTTCATTTGCAAAAGCACACAAAAGACAATGAAATTTTTTTTAAGGTTGCCAAAAAAATATTTCCCGGTAAACTTAAGATATGCAAAACATGAGGTTCTCTCTATCAAAAATTTGTAAAACAAAAATTTTGGCCTGACCCTGAGATTAAAGATGTTATGAAATACTCGTATTTTCTAGATATTCTATATCAATGGTAATATTGGTTCAAAGTTTGTCAATTGGTTATTTCCCCTCATATTTGTTGGAAATGGAAAGAACCACGAAAGTAAAGAAAATGTGTCTATTGTTTAGGCAGGACTATAGCTATGGTGCAATTAAAGATAACATGGCCATGCAAGACAACCTAGCAGAGTATATTTCAACAGTTGTTTTCCATGGTAATGTTATCTTTACTCAGGCCACAGGTATATATTTGTCAGCCCTTCTTCCAGTGGTCACATAAAATGACAGAGTTACAAGTAATGTTCCAAATTTTGCTTTCCTACAAGACAGTCCAACAGTAAATCCGGTCCTGCATTTAGCTGTGCAATGGACATATACCATTGAGGTAAACATATGCAGGATATGCAGATGCAGTCTTCCTACGAAGCCACACATACCTAAAGCAGTGGTAGTCTCTCCTTAACCTATAACCATTTTTACATGTGCCTTTGTTATTAAGCTGGAGATTTGTTAAACATACCTGTGCATTGAACTGCGCTTTTTGCTTTTCAACCATAAGAAATTCCTGAAGCTCTTTCTCTCCACCTTTTGTATCAAGCCCAGTTGAAAATGAATCAAAAGAGTCGGTCATAGTTGATTTTCTGATGACAATCTAACTTTTCATCAAATTCTTTTCTCACAAAGCATATACAGTATACACGGAAAGTAAGCCTGAGAACCAACGACGATGAAAAGACCTAGACCTTTCTATTTACACTAAACTAAAACGCGTTGAAAGGATAAATATTAGGGAATTGCAATGTTGCCAGTTACTAGCTGATAGAATTCCTAACCTGGTAGTAAACAAACCTCAAACAAATATTTCATCGTGTAAACCAGCTATTTGGACTCATGAAAATAATAAAATTGTTAACATTCTTGAAAATCTGCATAAGCAATAGTGAAAAGTAGAAAAGTGAACTATTTTCGTATTGAATTTACCGTTAGCGAATTGGAAAGAGATTTCCTTCAGTCACAGAGCTTCAGTCGACATTGGCAACGTCGCATTTTTCTTATGAATGGACATTTTACGATAGTATAAAGTGCGTATTTTATGCTTGAGTTGTGGATTTTCACAAATCATTATTTTTGTGCTATTTGCCATAAGTTTGTTAGTGATATTGAACTGTTACCTGTTGAACAATGGTGCGATCGTGTTATGTGTGCAAGATAAACAGCAGTAATCCAGAATCGGCCAATTTATCATTCCATCGGTAAGTAAGGTTATGTTTTCATATCATAGGCGTGGCAATACAAATTTTACTGAAAAAATTATCATAAAACAGTCTTTTACCATCATTTTAGTAACTTTTTGTAGCTTCCTGACGAGTTTATATGAATATATATCCATCACTAGCAGTATGATACAATTTAAAGATGTTCTGGGTGTAGTTCATCAAGTACAAAAATATCCACATACACAATCTTCATGCAACTTAAGTAAACGTGATTTTGCCATGATTTGATTATATTTTTGTGCTAACTAGTTTATAATCATTAGACAGATCATTGGTGTAAGACATGTGTTTACAATTTTAGACTCCCATCTGACCCAGCAAAGCGCATTTTATGGATTTCACTGCTTGGCGTTGACTGGGAGAAAACGTTGCCGAAAGTGGCACTGATATGCAGCAAACATTTTCATGATAGGGACTTTGAATATGATTCTGCTGGAAGAAGGCTTTTGAAGGATGGTGCTGAACCAGTAGATGTTCGCTCCATACATGATGAGCAGGAGTATGCAAGGTAAATATGTTTGTTACTTTTTTGAGTTTTTTTGACATGCTATTAATAGCATACAGATACATTTGCCCTATATATTCATATTGATTAATATTTACTCAGCATTTCTATTATCTAAAGTTTGAAGAATTAAAAATGTGTCAAGATTATACTTGTACTTTACTCTAGACTCTAGCCCTGTAAATATTTACTTTGTTATTGTATCCATAAGTATCTTAAACAAACATTATTATTCCAGCTCTGATTCAACAGTGACACTTACTCCATCAAAGGAATCAAGCTCAGAAGCCCATAGCAGTCAAGGGAGCCCTGTCAGAAAGCGGTGAGTAGAGTTCCATACGGACTTGAACTATTCTCATATAATAAGCTTATACTACATATTATTATCAAAATAAACAGATTGGCACAGTAAAATAAGTCAGTGCCTGTGTGCTTCAAGTGTGCTTTAATAAATGCAATTCATACATTCAAGTACATTACCAAACAATTATTGTCAAAACTTATCTAAATAGTATCATGTGTATGTCAAAGGATTTTGTGTGTTTGTGTTATGTCCAGTATTTTATGTATACCTTTTATTTTAGATTGAGAATGGAAGAGTTAGCTATACCAGGGCCTTCCCATGTGGTGTGAGTATTCTCTTAATCTAAACCATTTCATTTACTCATGTAGAAAATATTTTAGCTCAAGTCATATTCCTTTTCCTGATGAAGCTTCTAAGATGGTAGAGCCTCCAGAAATTTTGCAGTCATTCACATCATCCAGTACTGCAACTGCTTCTGAACAGGAGTATCAATTGGCAATTAGAGGCAATGTCACCAAACGAAATGTCAGAACACCACGTAAAAGAAGGTATTTGAGGGAGACAAGAACTTGTTTCTTACTAGCTATTTTGTATCAAGATGAAATGATATATAATATTATTTAATGAATAAAGTATATAGTTGACACATTTATCATTTTCAGGCTAAAATTTATCAAGTGATGACTTTTCCACTCCCAGAAAATCAAAGTCAAATTATCGGTTGATGAAAAGTTCCCTAATGACATTGAGGAAAAAAGTAAAAAGTCTCCAAACAAGTGTTGCTGCTTTGAGGAGAAGAATAAAAACTCTAAGTGGCTTATTGAAACTTTTGAAGCAGAAGAATCACATAACAGATTCAGCTGAAACTGTATTGAAGGTAAGCAGATTGATGAAGACTGTGTGTCCCAGATACCCGAATTCATTTGAATGGAGCAATTGATCAACTTTTTTTTTCAATATAATAATTTTCATTACAACACACACACAACACTCAACATACCATAACTGGTCAGAAGACCAGTTGTAATCTTGCTCATTGAAAATAAGCATTATCATCTTATCACTTTTGCACATATAGCTCCATGATTTTTTTCTTTTAATTATAGCATTTGATATTCTTTTTTTATTCGTATTTTGTTTATTTTGACTAATACTTGTTACAACAAGTATACATATCGTCATCTAACCACAGCAGGTCATGAGACTGGTTATGGTAGAAATAGAATTGAGTATGGGTATGTTCAGTGTTAATATCTTAGTTTCGTGATGTTATTTATCTTGCATAAATGTAATTAATACTAGTTTTAAAATACTCATTCTGTTCAGATTACATGATTTAATTGCATTCTAAATACTTAATATCTCTTTTAGGCATCTCTTTCTGGTATGCCTTTGGAAATCTTTGAAAGAATGTTGAGGGGGCGTACTAGCCAGAAATATAACCCTGCCTTGCGGTCATTTGCCCTCACGCTGAGCTTTTATTCCCCAAGAGCATACAATTTTGTGAGGAAGACATTTAACCTTGCTCTACCCCATCTGTCAACAATAAGCAAATGGTATAAGTCGATTGATGGTTCACCAGGCTTCACTGAGGAATCCATTGTGGCCTTGAAATTAAAACAAGGAGAAGCTTCAACCAAAAACTCTACTGTTATGTGTAATTTAGTCCTAGATGAGATGTCTATTCGGAAACAAGTTGAATGGACAGGGAGTAAGTTCACGGGGTATGTTGATATTGGGGCTAACATAGAATCAGACGTTCTACCAGAAGCAAAGGAGGTGTTGGTTTTTATGTTAGTATGCTTGAATGGAGCATGGAAAATTCCGGTGGGTTACTTTCTGTTGGATGGCTTGACTGGTTATGAAAAGGCAGAACTCGTGAAAAAATGCCTAACCTTCATCCACACTTCTGGAGTTACTGTAGCATCATTAACATTCGATGGTGCTCCAGTAAATTTCACAATGGCTTCTTGTCTAGGGACAAATCTGAACGATGTAACAAACTTGAAGACTTATTTTCTCCATCCTATAACGGGTCAAAATGTATACATATTCCTAGACCCAAGCCACATGATAAAATTAGTCAGAAACGCTTTTGGTTCCATCAAATACTTAGGTGATTCTGAAAACAATCAGATAAGTTGGGATTATTTGGTGAAGTTAGTTGATGTGCAAAATATCGAAGGTTTACATTTAGGCACAAAAATAAGAAATCGTCATCTACAGTGGACGAGAGAAAAAATGAGGGTCAAAATAGCTACACAAACTTTAAGTAGAAGTGTTGCTGATGCTTTGACCTATTTATCCAAAGATTTAAAACTAGCGACGTTTGCTAATGTGGAAGGTACCGTAAAATTTGTTCAAACATTTAACGATATTTTTGATATTTTCAACTCTAGAAACAGGTTTTCAAAGTACTTATTTAAGCGCCCACTTTCTCCAGCTACTGCAGATACATTTTCAAATTCATGGACGAGGCAGTTCAATATATCCATGGATTGCGACTAGGTACTCTCCCAATAATACATTCTCCAAAAAAAACTGGTTTTTTAGGATTTTTGATTTGCATTCAGAGCTTGAAACAGTTTTATAACTTGTGTATTGTAGAAAAGAAAGTTTTAAAATATATTTTGACAAATAAATTATCACAGGATCATTTAGAGCTTTTTTTTGGAGCTATTCGTAGTAAGGGAGGGTACAACAATAATCCCAGTGCAAGGCAGTTTGAAGCTGCATACAAACGATTGCTGGTGCATACAGAGATATCTGGCCCAGACACAGGAAATGTTGATAACCCAGAGCGTTTGACTATCTTATCTTGTGGCAGTGGATATCATATAACCAGGGCGGACGATGGTGAAGATCTTTTAAATAGCCCAGAATTACTTCAGTTTGAAGAAAAAATAAAAAACGATCTTGCCCTTTACCAGTGCACACCTTTTGCATGGAATCTTACAATTTATACAGAAGATGTTGTTTCATACATTGCAGGGTTTGTGGTGAATTGTTTAAAAAAATGTGTTACTTGTATAAATTGTAAGAATTCTTTAGAGGGCGATATTGACATGCCATTGCAAAAAAGAAAAGTTTATGGAGAATTGACAAAAGCCTCAGGACCAGTTATTCAAATTTGCCGCCATGGTGAAAAATACTTTCGTTTCTTCCAAAAGACAACTAATATCTTTAACAAAAATATCAAACATCTCTCGGATATTCTAGTCAATAATACCATACAATCAATATCACCACATATTTTGGGGTATTTTGAACACCACCTTCTTGAAGATGACCCTATTGATGGGCACTGCATATTTCTGATAAAACTGATTTTGAAAAAGTATTTCTCACTCAGAATTCATCACGAAACTGTGAAAAAATCGGACAGTTTAAAAAAAAACAGAATTAGAAGTGTATATACGAAGGCAGTATTATTCAGCCATCAGTAAGATTTTTTTCTTTGTTGTATCTCTCGTAATTTTTTGGATTCTATGATATGATTCTAAGGTTGAGAAGTATTTTTAAATTATGTACATTTTTGTAGACCTGTAGGTGGCAGAAGTTCAAGCTTTGTTTTTCCCAAAATGCATAGCTAATTAGTAGATTTTTAATTTTCTGGCGACACTGATCATGTATGTATAGGCCGACTACATTTCAGCTGTTTCGCATGTAATTGAAATAATTCAAGATTCCGCAATTTCTACCAATACACAGTAAAATGGAAATATCCCGACTGCATGTATTGTTTTTTTTTCGTATTTCATGTTATAAATGGATACATAAGCTATCTTATAAAATTAATTTGCTATACAAATTTCTCAACACGATTACTACAACACTTTAGGTAACACCCCAAGATTGAATGAATTATTTACAATTATGCTTAATGTGTTGATGTATATATTTTTGATTATATTATATGTAATTAGATTTTATATAAAGTTACCTTTATATATATATATATAACTCGCATATTTTCCTTTAATTATGCTATAACTGAGACCTCGTAGATGAGTGTCAGACGTTCATTCCATACTGTGATCCGTACGTCAGTATTTACTGATAGATTTCCTTCCGGATCGATGGAATGATTGAATTTCCACATAACCTTATGCAACAATAAAACATGGCATCAATACGCTAGGCTAGACGTTCAATGAATACGACCACATTCCTTGGAAAATACTAACGGATCAGAGTATGAAATGAACGTCTGACATTCGCTTTATAATACTGGCAAAGTAGTACTAATAAGATTTAGAGTGTTTGTTCTTATACTGTTCTTTACTATTATACAAGGAATGGCCTATGATGATTTTGTACCCATTGTTAAATTGGCGAGTGTGAAGTAGCTGCTTGAAGCAACTCTTGTAATTTATGATTTTGTAAAAATGTCAAAATAAAAAGTGTTCCCATTTCACTGTTTGATTTGTTTTAAAAAAATATCTTATTAAAATGGATGGCGATCAAAACTGTTCAATCCAACTCTAATTTTTAAGTAAATATTGGAAACACATTGTTCAAGTATACCGTCTCTAATCTAGAGGCACCTCTGTCAAAATCCATCAAACCGTTCAAGCTGCAGCCTTGGAAATATGAATTTCAAGGTTGATTATTTTATTAATATTCGCCATTTTGTTTCAATGAAATTTTAATATACCCAGTATCACTCATACTGCTAGGACGAATCCGAATACCAAAATCCAACAAGCATTTGAGCCCGTGAAACAGAATTTTTGGATATATACATACAAACCAAAAAACATGTGAAACATATTCCTCCTGAGGCAGTCGGGTTAATAAATGTATAAAGCTCATCAGTTTTCAGAGCCTCGTCTGTCGCTGGCGACACTATCATGATTGGTCTGAGTGCATGTGACGTCCGGTTTGATTCATAGTCCTAGTTTTGACCGTTTCTTGTTGTGTTTATGTACACTTATATTTAATTGTACTTCGACGCTATATTTCGGCTTGCATATTCATAATTAGCATAAACAATTTATTTGAGTGACAAATTATTCCATTCCATTATGCATAATACTTTTACATTCATTGAAGTGCCCAAAAACTCCACAAAAATCGATTTCTAGCTATAGCTCTATTACCCCGATTATGATACGCCCATGGCAGTTGAGGACTGTCCGCCATCTTCCTCCAGCTGTATATAGTTTTCTGTTGTTTATCTTGTCAAGGTTCAGATAGACGTTTTATGAATGAATGTAAATGTCTAGGTCTTTTCATCGTCGTTGAATGTAAATGTATGTACCTCTACTTCGGCGCCGTCATCTAGTTCTCGGTGACGGCGGCGGTGGACAAACGCCGTAAGTGGTAATAATTTGAAATCTCTACAGATTTCTTTATCGATTAAAGTATAATTCTTATGTCACCCAACAGATAGCGCAAGTCCGAGTTGAAGCGACATCTATAGTCGAATTCCTTAAGCTATTGACATACCATAACATAACCTATACCTATACTTTTTTCATAATTTTTAAAGGATAATATATTTTCTCATAATTTACTACAAAACAGCTTTAGCATTAGATTATGACCGGTGTTGTTTGTGATACGTTAACAAACTTGTGAGTAAAAATTCCAATTTATTTTTGTATACTTTACATACGTATTAATTTGTAGAACTATCAAACACATAATCCATAACTTGCAAGAATTCTCAGATTCAAACTATGATTCGCTCAGATTTTTGCCCCCAGAGGTAAAAAATAAACTGTTAAAGGCATGTACAGTCTCACCATTCTACCTGAATAGAGGAAGAGGAAATCTGAAGCATATTTTATCAGCCTTACTGAATTCTCAAACTATTGCTGCTGATATAACATCCATAAATGTTGATGACAATGTTCTACAAACTCTTGTACTAGCGAAAAATCTTCAAAAATTACATCTAAAACCTGATGAAAACTGCATATCAACAGAAGGTAAACAATATAATACCAAAGTTGGGACCCCCATTGCTTTGAATAATAGCCAGCACACCAGATACAATTTTTATCATCAGAAAAAAATAAAAACATTGCATCCATCACAAACCTCAAATTTATGCCTTCCTTAGGGGCATCGTTTTTATTTGTTCAATTTAAACATTGTGTTTCAGCCAAACTAACAATGTCTTGTATCTTAAACCAAAGTTGGAATTAATTGGGAAGTTGCCCCCATATGATTTGGTTATGAATTTGTTACTATTTCCAAATATAAAGTACTATACCATAAAGGTATTAAAAATTAAACATTAAAAGGCACTAAAAAGTCATATTTCACAGGAAATTTATATTATTTCAGGATTCTTAAACTTATTTCCATACTTGCACAGGCTATGTGATCTTAGTTTAAGAAATTCAAGTGCAGTTGAGGACAATGTACTAAGATGCTTAGCAAACAATTGTCCAAATCTCACATTATTAGACTTTGGTGGTTGTAGAAATATTACAGATGATGGCATTAAGAGTATATCTAAGCTTCAAAACATTACATGTTTAACAGTTTCTTATTCACAGGTAAATATCTCCTACCCAATGTTTTATAATCATTTTTTATGTGGTGAGTTTACAATAAAATGCTTGTTAGTGAAGCTACCAAAATATGAATGGCACTCAAATTAAACTGTTTGATGTACCAAGTTGACAAAACACCATTAGCCTTAACTAAACATACATATAGAACCTAGTACCAGAATATTTGTTGAGACAAATTAAACAATATCCAATTCCCATGGCCACCCCCTTGGAATGATGCCACTTTACTTGTGGTGCTTTTCTCATCAAGCCCTACAATTTGATAGCCACATCGGAATGGCTGTCTGCATTATATATCAATATTTTGCAGCTGCATCTATATTAAATTTAGGATGACGCCATTTTGCTGGTTGTGCTTCCCTCATGTTATGTCATTTGATACCAATCACATAGAGGTGACAATGGAAAAGATAAATCACCAAAAAAATGGTGGCATTCAATTCATTTTGTATTCGTCATGCGAACTAAATGTGTACATAAAACTGCAGTTCGATTGGTACAGTTAACTGGTTCAAAATTCAGTTCTGAAATATGTCCTACACATACTAACACACATATCAAGTTAAACCATGTAAAAAATAACCAATAATTCATTTGAATTTTTGTCTCTTTAGATGAGTGATAGAGGCATTTCCTACTTAGTCAATAGTAGTAATGGCAATACCTTAAAAGAATTACAAATTCATAACTGTGCTAATATCACAGAAGATGGGTTAAAAGAGATTGCTAACTACTGTCCTAATATTGAAATCCTAGTATTTCATAACTGTAGTGCAACATGTAAGTATACACTATTTCTTTAGACTCGTATAAGGACGGAATTTTGGTAAGAGCATGTCTTCCCAGTATGTGTTAAATGTTGCCAACAAAAGAATCAGCCTGCAGTATTTTTCATTATTCAAACTCAATGTGCTTTGAAATAAAAAGACAATATTCATGTTTTTAGGAGGAAAAATACTGAAAGGTTTTCCAAAAGGGACTTGTTAGTGTTGACGTGGAATAAAACAAGCTGTGTTTTAAGTTTTGACGAAATTCTATGCTAAAAAAAAATTTAAGCAATAACAAGTTTATGATGACCTTGACGACATTTTCGGATTAATGCTTAGTAGCTTAGATATTCAGCTTTAGCTGGCATTGTGGAAATGAATTCACAAAATGTTGTTTGGTGGGGATTTTGAGTCAGTGGCACTATTAATTGTTCCATACTTCTTCAAAAACAATATTGGTGAAGCCATCACCGCCTACTGTAGGTGGTTTGATTTGTGCCATATGAACGTGAATAACATGCGGTTCCAACAGGATGGCATTACAATGTGCATTAGACTTTTTTTGTGGGTTCTTTTAAGTCAACCAATATCCACCAGTGCCTTTAAAGTAACTCAGGCGAACTATGCGGAAAAATTCATCCCATACAAAATGGACTATTCCAATAAAAAAAAAGTTACATTACCAACTCACACAGTTTGCTTTGCTCCATTTCAATATCGATTCGCCGTCGTATATTTCAAAATTCATTTTACAGATCTAAATATTTCTCAAACGCTGCAGGATTTGGATCTTAAAAAACTGAAACAGATTAATTACACAATTTCATGGTAAGTTAATAGTATAATAAATATGTGTATAAGGATGTGAACATACGTAATATTTAATGTACATAAATAAGATTCTGTTGGGATTGAACGAGGAACACAGGTTTATGGCAGGTATCACTATATAGAAATATATTTTCTATAGTGTCTCCTATATTGTTCAAGGGATTCAATCATACCAGAGAAAGAAGAATGCGTTCAAAAAATCCGCAATAATTTTTGAACGACCATACCGCCGGATTTTTAAAAATAAATAAATCCAAGTTGCAATAGATTACAATTATATTTAAACATAGAATATAAACTGACAAAACCGTATTTCTTCTATATTTCGTTTTTATAGATTTTTAATTAGCTTATTGTGAATAACAGACATAACATAGACATCTATAAATAATAAAATTGTATTCTCCTCCAAGGACCTTGCATTTTTTACTTTTCTCTGTGTCATTCTTGTGAGAGCCCATAATAAATTCAGCGCAAAGCACTTTTAAGGCGGAGTTCACACTGTATTTAAGATAGTAAAATTTTGAATTTCAAACACCCGCGAAAAGTGTGCTTTACAGCTTTATGAGAAAAGGAGTTATTCATAAAAATATGTAAATGGTTCTCCAGCTGATTAGCTTCTAGTGCTATACTCGACAGATTACACGATTTAGTTTAGTTTCAAAAGGAAATTGTCAGTTTGAAATTCAATTTTTTACTGACTTCGAATATCCTGCGTGCCACCCATAAATTCGGAAGTATTGTAACTGTTCTTGCCAGAGTGTAAGTTAAGGTACCGGAAGGGCAGCGTTCCGGTTCAGCAACGACAACTTCATGAAATGCCAGCTTAAACTCAAGAAAGGTGACATAAATGACATTATTTAATTTTTCAACTAGGAACAGTCGAGGTTCGAGTGTTACAGAATTCCAACCATAATTCTCTTTGCGATAGATTAAAAATTAATTATACAAATGTGAGTATCACAAAGAGAGTTCAATTTCTGCCACAATATACTGCGGGTAGATAAATGTAAAATCAATGAAAATAATCGCATCAAAAACCCTATTCATGTGGATTGAAATGTCTATAACCATTTTTTTTTCATCTAATACTACTACACAAAGATTATGATGATATTGGGCCTTCAATGATACTTCAGCACAGCTACTGTAACTAATCCTAAGTGACACACTATTTATATCATTTTTATAACATTTATCTTTCGCTGTCACTCGCCATATCAGCTAATTATGAATGATTCTTGATGGGGACTGGGTTCTGTTTCATCTGGAGGATAATAGAACGCATGCGGGATACGTCTTTGCTGCCCTGTTTAGCTTTTGGATTAAAGTCGCATAACTTGGCAATGCGTTCCCACTCGGTACCTGGTTCGAGAGCATCATCCTCCGCAACAAACTGCTTTTCGGCATTTCTGAAAAATTGTTTCCTTTTGATCGTATACTCTACTGTGATGCACGTTCATCCTTAATTAGGGATCGACCGATATCGATATGTACACTCAGGTTCGAAATAAACGCACCAAGCAAAATTTTGGTCGAATTTGGAACGTGGTAGCTTTTTTCCTTTTACCTGGATTTTATTGAATTTATTGAATAAGAATGATGTTTCATTATTCCAATTTGAGTCACTCTGTGGTGTAAACCCAGTTGCCAATCAGCCAGCAATGCTTTCTATTATCAAGAACCACATTTTTTTCTATAATCTGTTTTTGGTTTTTTATTCACGTCAACATATACAGTGGTTGAGTTTTAGAGGTAAAATCAAGTAAGTCCAACGCTTCTAATGTAAAATAAAATAGTATTTCACTTGCCTGGTCAAGTTATGGTAGCATAAAGAGGCAAGAAACGCATATATTGCCCAAAAAATGGCCATATGAATATTCCCGATGAATAGAAAGAACTAGTACGTTTTAGTTCTAAACGTCAATCAGAACATTATCATGGATTTTGCAACAGATCTTGAAGCTTTTTTAAATTTGCTTTTGTTATCAAAGAAAAATATAAGTTTAGTATTTCAACCTACCGACTTTTCAAGTATCAATAAGGATTCAAATATATTGGAAAAAAAATGTGTTATTGTGCTTTCCAAGTTCACATATGATACAACCCTATACTTTGCCGCTTAATGAAAAAAAGGCTGCTGCTGATAATATTTTATCAGCAAAATACGTACCGGCCGCCGATCTATGATACTATCGAAAGATCTTCGGAGAATCAGAAAGTATTGAAGTTCCACAAGATGTAGTTAGTACAGGTGACGACGCTTATGACTCCGATTCATCATTTATCTAATTTATTTTTGTTACTCCTTTTTTAAGTTGTTTTGGTTTTTTACTCTTTGACTATTAAAACTGAACTAATTGTTTCGTTATTTCAATATAATGTTCGGGCCAAAAACCAGGTACGTCCAAATTTTTAACAGAAAAAAAAATGAATGTATCCACAATTTACAAATTTCAGTCAGTATTATACTCTTCAGTTATTCTAGTCGTTCTCAAATGGAATATTGCTTTTAGATCATATTTCCTTCATTTTATGTGAGGAAGTACGATTTAGGCATATTTTGCATTATACAGAGCGGTTCATTTTCAAATTGCATACTGAAGGTGATTGATAACCAACTTGCAACATATTTAGGTAAACGCAACCAGAAGAGGACAGTAGGATATACCGCTGTCCTATGACTTCCCCGAGTCTTTTTGCATCCCGTAGTGGCAATACTGTTTCTGTTCGATAAAGCTACTGATCCACATCCTCTCGGACGACAGCACTTTGCATCCGTGCATTTAGAATGTCAAACCGAGCTGTTGAGAGTTGGGAAGAAGGAGACTGGTATCGATACAATTGTGGGTTCCTCTTTGACATAGGACGCGAAGATTATCACTGATTTGTTTGTTTGCGCAACAATTTTACGACTTTAAAGCCATATATTTTAGCCAACAAAAGATGTCGTCGAGAATATAACAGCATGAATACATCTGCTCAATCGAGGCAGTAGCTGGGAACAAATAGGAGATACCCGTATATGTTTTTCCATCTTGAAATATCTTTCCTACTCAGTACAAGTCTCAGGTGAGGCTCGGCGTGCAGTATCTGGGATGTTTCCACTCTGTCTACACAGTCCATACTCAACTGAATAGGTTTGAGTATGGACGGTGACGTGTTCAGAATGGGAAAGATATTTCATGATAAAAAGTCATATACGGATATATCAGGTTTTTTACCAGCTGCTGCCTCGATTGAGGAGACGTGTTCGTGCTAAATTATATTCCCAACCACGCCTGTTGTTGGCTAAAATGCAGTACTGTCTCTAAAAAGCTGTATACCTGTTACGTTAACAAGCATATCAGTGATAACTTTTGCGTTTTATGCCAAAGAGGATGCCACTATTGCATCGTTACCAGTCTTCTTCTCTCCATCTTTAGAAAGCTTAGTTTGACATTCTGAGAACAGAAACAGTATTCGAGCAGAACCTTGGCGAACACTCGTGTTGCCACTATTGGATGAACAGCATCTCAGAAAGGACACAGGACAACGGTATATCATATTGCCCTCTTCTGGTTGCATTTATCTAAAAGTTATGCTACAAGTGGGTTATCCATCACCTTCAGAAAGCAATTTGAAAGTGAACCAACCACACATGTAATGAAGGAAGCATTATCTGGGAGCAATATTCGACCCAAGAACAACTAGAAGGCGTCTATCTGAAGTGTATTATACTGATTAAAATTTGTGAATTGTATTACATTCATCCTGCTCCAAAAAACAATATTCGCATAAATTTTCATTATATCAAAATAACAGGATGAGGGAAATATTTATGGTAATTGTACTGACACTGTTTTTCAAAAAGGTAGAGCGTTAAATTATTATACAGCAAGTCTTCATTCTCTTCGCTACTGTGTACTGTGGTAAAATGTCCATTTGCCTCAAAAACTTCAACCACTGTACTTAGTGACTTGAATAAAAAAAAACACATAGAGAAAATGTGGTTCTTGATAATGGAAGCATTGCGGACTGACTGGTAACTGGATTCACACCACAGAGTAACTCAAAGTTGGAGTAATGAAACATCATTTTGATTTACCCTGTCCAACAAATCAAACCGTGGCTACACATTAAGGACAATGAGTGTGCCTACCGCCCGCCGAAAAAAATCAACAAAACCGAGGTAGAAGTAAAAAAGTTATGACGTTCCGAATTTGATCAAAATTTTGCTTGTTGCGTTTATTTTGAATCTGAGTGTATATCTTAGACATATCTAATCTGCCGATTACCTGAATGCCGATATAGGATGATCGATACAAACTACAACAGTTCACGTGTAAAACTATCATTGAATTCAACAAAAAACGCAATACATGCAGTCAGTGGAACAAGTTAATGATACGATGTTGCCTAGGCTGACCTCATCTGTATATGGCCATTCGAGACTAAGAAACTCATTGTTGGAAAGAACCGATTGAAATACATCTAAATTAATTGTATCAAAGCAACCCCTTTTGCACTATTTTTACCTAGGATACAAATTGCATTCATCGAAATTATCAGTCTGGGTGGAAATTATGTCGAGTTATTTCCAGTCACATCAAGTTGCGATTGCATGAAACGTGAAATTGAAGTTGCTTGTAATGTGAGATAACTATAACTATGTACACTTCGTTTTACGAACTTCAATGGCAGAAATGCCCAATTTTGCTCTCGCTAGACAGCCCTTTTGTGTGGTTGGAGGTCAAACTGTCAAAAGTAGATGAAAAAAATGAAAAGGGTAACCTATTTTTCACGACTTCATAAAGTTTTGATGTCGATTGAGGTGAACAGCTGATCAGCAAATGACATCTTGTATGTTTATGAACTTTAGCCGATTTACACGACCCAATAAATTGAACAGTTTTTTTTACTTTGAAGAAGTTGAAGCGTGTAAACATACAAATTGTTGTCAATTTCTTCACAACAATAAATTCATGAATAAATAGACAAATTAGAGCTTGTTCTAATTTTGCGTCAATTTTTTGGAGAATTCTAGTTACTTTTGTCCTAGATCCTAGATACTAACCTTCGTTATTTGATGCGTTCACCTTTTGTGATTTGAGGTTAAAATTATAATACTCATAGTTTGGCTTGGTGCTTTGATTTTAGTTAAGGATTCAATATTTCAACAGTATATATGTAAGTATACTGTCATTTTTTATTGGTATTATACATAAGTTATGTATGTAGAAGGTTGGTATCATAGGTAGTTGATATATGTGTTGGTATGCTTGACTTGAATAAATTTGATCATGTAATTTTGCTCCATGTTACCTTGAAGAAATTCATCTATTTTTTCTGGCAATTTATTCGTGAATTTATTTGATTGTGTAAAGCGGCTATTAATTACCCCCATTTCACTGGTTTTACAGAACTTGCAAAAACAGGTTTTTGCAATTTAACGTCTCGAATGTAACTTCGAATTTTAAATCAGTGCCAGATTGAAGGATTTTCCTTTTGATCTGCTAGTTTTTCACACCTCATAAAGAAAAAATGAGCAAAAAAAAGTGGCAACGACATTCTGCAGGAATTTTCTCTGCTAAGATCAAGCTAAAGTCATGATACTGTGAGACGATTTTTGGTCCCAAACACCTGCAGGAGTATTTTGTATACGAAAAATATTTTTTCGGATGGCATGGGTAACCCCTTCCAAGAGCAAATCTTGGCATGCCCCAGTCTACACCTTGTCATTGTATCAGAGAATAATGCAAAGTTAATCCTTATCTCACGAGTATCCATCACGTTTTGACGTCTACTGAGGTGAACAGCTGATCAGCAAGTGACATCTTTGTATTAGTCTGTAAGGTTGACAATAATGAATCGGGTGTTACTCTAGTAAAACTTGCTTATAGCGTTTTTTTATGTGCAAATTAACTTGTCTAAATAAAAAAGTGGTCAGCAAGTCCAAATTGAATCTATAGCGTGAAAAAAACGAAACAAAATACGGCGCTGACGGATCCGCCAGAATTATGTGTCATTTGTCGATATGGTGAATTTTGAAAATAATCAGCTGTTGTTCTACCGTAATTAATACTCGTGAAAAAGACAATAAAAGTTATCTGTCAACACCACATGTATCCATCTCCATATATCGTGGTTAGACGTCACCTGCTGTTCTGTAGACGCCATGTTTTTGTTTCCGGTCTGTCTCTCTATAATATCTAAATATTTTCTGTTGGAATAACGACTCTTTGGTTATACTACAAGATTTTTTTTGTATGCAAATGGACTTTTCTAAATAAAAGAGTTGTTAGCAAGTGCAAAATTAATCTGTAGCTTATAAAATTAAAACAAAATACGGCTATATCTACCTGGCGTTGAGGAATCAATCAGAATTGTGTCATTTTTGATATGGGTAATTTAGAAATGTTACTAGATAATCAGCTGTTATTCTACCGTAATGGATACTCGTGAATAAGAATCAACATTGTAAGGTGTCAATACTGTAGTGCGATATTAGAAGCTGATTTAAGGAAAAATAGTTCCACTTACACAGACACAGTTATCTCTATTATTGCTATCATTCTTACGAATTACGAGATCATACTTACTTGGCAGCATCCCTTCAAGATTGCAAATTAATGAAAAAAGGATTGGTAACAAAGAACATGATATACATTATAAAAAGTGATTTGTACTATTTTACGTGTTGTTTAATATTTGAATAAATAATGCTTAAAATAACAGTGATTCTATAAATAGTTTGGTACTTGGGACAAAGCTGTTACTCTCAAAATTGATTCTAAATGATTATGACAACTAAAAGAAATTATAGACTTACCGATTGGCTGCTTTGGTTTTGGCAATTGTTTCTTCATGGTTATTATACCAATCCTCAAGTTCCTTCTTAGCAATCTCTCTCAGTTCCTGTTTTTTCTTCTCCTCTTCTTTATCTAAATAAAATATTTTTCAGGTAACTATAGCACAGATTAAAAGCGACAGTGCCCCAAAAGATATTTGTTGCGATATATCATAAGTATGATGTTTATGTTGATTTTTAAGTTACAGTTATTGTAAACATACAGGACTTTTCATTGTTTCTGGCGAGTCACAATAAAACTACAGGAATTACTTTCATACATCCATCTCCCTCACACATACATACATATGCTATCGGCCTCTAAGCGCGGAAAAAAATCACAGACATACGTTTTGCATTTTTTTACTTGCCATGGGAGTGCGCTTAGAGATTAACCAATAAAAACATAGAGTGAAAACAACGGTCATAAATGACCCAATTCATGTGTGTGCAAGAGCAGGTAGCAGCTGCGTTAAGGATTTGCCTGTGAGGAATGTAATTTCCCTTATGGAAGCTCTACACATGGTATAGTTAATCAGTTGTTTGCTTATTTCATATGGCGTTGTGACATAACCCCCAAAAACCGTGAAAAGAACTCCACACATATAAGTTAAATTTATTTATAATAAATAAAAGATTTTAATATATTAGACTGTTTTGTATTACCTGAACATTGTACCACATCCCCTAAAATTTGAGACTTTCAGAGTTGAATTAAAACTGTCCATTTCCATCAGTAAAAATGCGTTCAGATAGTACGGATGGTTATTTGCTAAACTTATTTTCAAATTTTACCTACAAATCATAAAAAGAATTTTTTTACCTTTCTCTTCCAATCGTTTTGCTTGTTCCTCTCGCCATTTTCTAATTTTTTCTGGCTCCACGCGATCTTCTTGCTTTGGAGGAGATGGAGTTGCTAGAATGGAAAGTAATTACAACATCTTACACAAAAGAAAACTTCCTATAAATTTATGGTAGAATCCTTACTTAGGGAAGCTAAGAATCTAAAAATCTCAATTTTGCTAGAAACTACATAGGTAACATCACTAACAAAACATATAGCAATTGTCAGATTTGGTCTACTAGAAATTCAATAATTGTACCAATTCTGCATGGTGCATAATAGAAAAACCTACTTTTTAACTGTAAGGTTCCCATGCAACAAAAATATCTTCTATATTAATATATCTGCATCTACTAGAGCTCATGCTTAACTTACTTTTTGGACGGGCCTTGAAGTATAGGTAATGACATTATTTAATAAAAATATATCCAGTAAATAAATATGCTAACAACTAACAACTTCTTAAGAAGAACAACTTGGATGATGTATGGTATTGAGTTATACATTTACAAAAAATTCATCTTACCCCTATTAAAATCATTGTCCAGATCCAACTGGTAATCAGGAACTAGAAACAAAACAAATAAAACATGCAGAATATAATATAAATTTAGCGGACAGACAAAGTAATCCTATCAACTTGAAAACCACAGGATAAGTTTCAGGTGTTACATGCAGGATACATTTATGCAAATAAAAAAGCTAACTTCTAGGATTTTATAAGATGTTATCAAAATAAAGTAAGATGCATGGGTCCTTGCTGCATTTGCGGCTTATAATGTTGACGAGTCATGTTCCAATGGTTATAAACCATTCTATGTTGATCCTATACTATCTGCTGACATTGACATCTATATTATAGAGTTAGTCAGCATACGAAAGTCAAGTAACATGGTACCAATCTTAAGCAAATCGAGTATTCACTATTCAAAAAAATGGTGTCGATTTGACTCTGTACTTCCCACGCAACGCTGTCATCAGTTCGTGAAAGCTCATGTTTGGAACAATTTAGCGCATAAATTGCTGCAACCCCTACAAGGAAATTTTCCGAAAATGATTAGTAGCCTCTGAAAACGCAAAGAAACGAAAATTGAGCGGTTTCAATGTTATCAGTTTTTGCCGTTTTTCTTCGCCGCCACTGGACCGATTTTCAAAAACTACAAAGCTCTTTTGTCCTTGGAATAGTAGTAACTGTGTGACATTTTTCCTAAAATTCCAAGTTATAAACGAGCCAAGGACTAGCGTGCCGACAGACCCACGGAAATGAGTGGCATGGTTTTTCGTGATGTACTTGTCATACCACATCCATAAAACATAATCTATCATTTTTAAAAACTTTAGCGGCTACAATACTGCCTCGCCAGTAGGCGTTGGAAGTAAAAGAGTGGTACATTCACTTTTAGGTTTGAGCAGAATGGCCTGCTGCACAAATTATTCTAAGCAGCTGGGAAGATTAACTTTACCATCTATACAGGGTATTAGGGAAATCATATTCACAACTTTAAGAGGTGATTCCTTGCATTATTCTAAGCAAAAAAGTTCAATATAACATATGTCCGAAAATCAACCGTTTCGGAGCCAAAAAATGCTGAACTTATTTCTTATTAGTCATGAAATAAACTAATAACACTGATAAACACAGGATTTGAGACATGACAATTGTTGGGTGTAGATTTTGAGACCCTTAAATCAAATCTAAAAACAGAATTTTTCTATCACCCACAGATATTCGGTAACATCTACTTTTATGAATTACATCACGTAACATCTCATATTGCCGCATTTCTCGGCGTTTACGCGATGACGCACATATATACTGTTAGAGAGCATATTGCGTTTATTAGTAGACTAATAGCAGCCGAGTCAGTTACGTTTTCTATGTTGAAGAGTACTGAGATTTTCTGAGCACTGTTAATTTTTGTTAAAACGGTGTGTTGTTTTTAGTTTATTGTGATAGAGACTAGCTTTACGGATAATGCCTAGAAATTGTCTCAATAGTGCGAACAGTTTTTGTTACGTGTGCGGAGAGCTAACTTTTAAATCCCAAAAACGTACTTTTACTCCCCTTGTGTTGTAAGCATACGAACTTTATTTTGAACCGAAGTTGGCGACCAAGATAAACTATGGGCCCCTCATATATAGTATGTTGTAAGACTTGTGTAATATTGTTAACAGGTTGGTTAAGATTCGACAATCGTAAAATGCCCTTTGCGGTAGCAATGGTTTGGAGAGAACCATACTACACTGCTATTTTTGCCTCACAAATATGAAAGGTATTGGACCAAAATCATAGTGGTGAACTTTCTGTCGCAGTTCCACCAGAATCTTGGTCTTTGGATGAAAAAGTCCAATCCACCGATTCTGAAAGTGATGGTACAGAAAGCGTAAAAAATTCCGATCCTTCGTTTGACCTGCCAGGATGTTCAACAGCGCCGCATTTGATCACACAGGGCGAACTTAATGACCTAGTTCGAGAATTAAATCTGTCAAAATCCCAGTCAGAACTTTTAGCGTCCAGATTAAAAGGATGGAATCTTCTCCACGGTGATGTTAGCATTACTTTTTACCGAAAACGGCAACAAGACCTCACACACTGTTTCCGTCAAGTAAATTTCTCCGATGTCAACAATTTGTTTGACGCGTTAGGGACAGAAACATGATCCAAATGATTCGCGCCTGTTCATTGATTCCTCTAAGCTTAGTTTAAAAGCGATATTGCTACACAACGGTAATAAATATCCATCTGTACCTATAGCGCACGCAGTTCATATGAAGGAATCATATTAAAATATGCGAGTTCTGTTAGAGCATACCCATGAATATGGATGGGCCATATGTGCAGATTTAAAGGTATAGCCCTTCTTGTTGGAATGCAACTGGGATATACCAAATAGTGTTGTTTTCTTTATGAATGGGACAGTCGTGCGCGAGATCGACGTTATGAATAGAAGGAGTGGCCACTACGTCAGGTATTAACTCCGGGCCTGCTCATGAACCACTAGTTGATCCCAAAACCTTTGCATAATTTTGTGAAAGCTATGGATCGAAATGGAAGAGGGTTTCTACATTTAAAACAATCATTTCCGAGACTTAGTGAGGCAAAAATTAAAGAAGGCATATTTGTGGGTCCACAAATGCAGAAAATCATCAAGGATGATGTATTTGACAGTGCTCTAAAGGAAACTGAATTACTTGCTGGGAATGCATTTAAATCAGTTACTACAAATTTTTCAGGCAATATGATGGCGGACAATTATAAAGATATTGTGAGTGAACTAATTAATGCTTATAAAGGAATTGCATGTAACATGTCTCTAAAAATTGACTTTTTGGATTCTCATCTCGATTTTTTTCCAGAAAATTTAGGTGCGGTAAGTCATGAACATGGTGAACGGTTCCACCAAGACATTTCTGCTATGGAAAAACGGTATCAAGGCAAATGGAGTGTCAATTTGCTTGCTGATTATTGCTGGACATTGTTGAGATTTGGTACTTCAGGAGCAACATATCGCCGTAAAACATCATCTGAGATTAATGTTTATTCGAGTGTTTATTAGTAATCTTAGACACATATCCTTATATTTTAAGAGTATAAGCACCAAATAAAATGCCTTATTGCAAGAAAAGGATTAAAACAGAATTTTCCTTCAACCACTGGTTCAACCCAATCTTGTATATATATATATATAACTTGAGACGTGGTCATTGTCGTCTAGACCAGTTAGGTGAAAAATTAAAGCTTCCGCCTTTTGTTGGGTACTTCGACAAAATTTAAGCAAAGAGGACTCTTTATACTTTTTTTTAATTCTCTCTAGCTTTCAATGGACTTTGCCATCATCAGGAGCTGCAATTACAATGATAACAGTAGCAACAAAAGTGTAAAATGAATTTAAATTGACTCAACTTACAGTAGTATGTGAGGATGTTGCTAATTGTTGTTTACGTATAGGATGAGGGAAACGTCCAGTAACATGGTGAGAGCTGGATAGATTGTACAATGGTCAAAATTATATAAAATATGACAAGAACAAGTTAAAAACAGATTAAAAACTATTTAAAAAACATTAGAGCATTACATCGTGAAGCCACTTGATGATTGCACAAATTAGTGGTCATGGAATAATGAGTGAGATGAAACCCTTTGACAGAAGGCCGAAGGATGTCAATGTCTGTGTTGAAAGATGGAACGAATTGTGGGCGTGTGCCAAACGTTGCCAAATCACTTCAGATGATGTGATTTTCAGAATTTTATGTAAGAATTTGTTAAACCGACCAGAGGCAGTTGAATAAACTATATTTTAATTAATGGGAATTTAAATTAACAATTATTAATAAATCGTGAGAAGAGAATTATTATATTTTGAGTGGAATGAAATTTACTGGTGGAATCGGCCAAAACACAGATTCTAATTATGGTTGTGAAGAGTCGAAATTTGGGGAGATATGTAAGTTCTCCAATTTTTCGCAGTTTAGCAAATATGAGTAAATGACATTCAGTTGTTTAACATCTGTCTTTTTGTTGATACAGTTGTTATTCATGAAGATGTGGGACATTTCCAGGAATAAACGTTTGGAAAGGTGTTTTTCTTCATCAAGAACTTTGATACTTGTGTAATTCATAGAATGCCCTGTTGTGTTAACATGAGATGCTAGAGCGCATCTTTCAGGATGAAGCCTAGCATCACGTTTGTGTGATGTAATCCTTCCTTTAAGAGATCTGGAGGTCTGACCTATGTATATTGCAGTCCTTTGAACTTTCGAATTGCTTGCAGATCCGTCCTCACTATAAACTGCATTTTTTCAAAAATGAAAGACAAAGTCCCGCTGCTTGGCTTAACCAACACAGTCTACTCCATCAATTGCAACAACTGCAACCAAATATACATAGGTCAGACCTCCAGATCTCTTAAAGGAAGGATTACATCACACAAAAGTGATGCTAGGCTTCATCCTGAAAGATGCGCTCTAGCATCTCATGTTAACACAACAGGGCATTCTATATACCCCTCCAACTTCGTTTCCTCAGGTTACACCCGTATCCGGATGTGTGGGCATGTGTATCTACTTTTGTATATATTATATTCATACGACACACGAAGTCCGCAACAAGAGCCAACCTACACATTGTAGTATAAAATGGCTATACGACCTCGAATTTTCAAGGAGACGTCTAACCACCACCACGCGGCCGGTTATAGCCACTTGCTGTAGTACTTCAAGCCCAAAGGATCTACAAAGAGAATATGATCATGCGGAGAAAAGTATATAACAACGAGTAGGAAAATAATGGGCAAAATCCGCAAAAAGGAGGAAAGTGGATTCGAGCAGAAAATAGGATAGGTAACCCGAGCGATACGTATTTCTGCTGGTTGGCTTCATCAGGCCCGAAATGAATGCACATATGAAACTACAAAAGTAGATACACATGCCCACACATCCGGATACGGGTGTAACCTGAGGAAACGAAGTTGGAGGGGAAAAAAACGACCCACGAAGTCCACAACAAGAGCCAACCTACACATTGTAGTATAAAATGGCTATACGACCTCGAATTTTCAAGGAGACGTC